AACCTGCAGAGCTCCACAGGCTCAGTATAATTACATGAAAATCCATCATTTTTATGCCCTTACATTTCCTTCTATTCCTGCTAATTGAATGCACAGTACTTTGGCCACCTAAATAAAAACCTCCTGTGGTATGTTTTAACTTTCCCTCTCTCCTTATCCTCTACATTTGAAGATTTGCCTGGTCATAGCAAATTTAGCTTATAAAAGAGTACTTCAAAAAGTTTATGGAAAGATTAATATCATCTTTCAATTCTATTTTTCCATGAGTTTATGGAAAGATTAATATTGTCTTTTCAATTCTATTTTTACATACCCGTGTTTGTAGCTTTTGCTGTTATTCTAATTCAGACTCTCATCTTAAATATACTGTATCATATAAACAGTAAGAAAAGAATGCTAATAGATAAAGAATAACCACCACAAATTTAGGTCTAATTATTTCAGTTGTTACATGCTTATTAGTGAAAAGGTGTAATCTATTCGGTAACAAATTATGATAACACAACTTCAGGTTATTTTATATACCTTTCTACATTTCTTGGTAAATTTAAACTAATTCACAGCAGGTCCAACTAAAACTTTTGAGAAATCTCAATAAATCCAATGCCTAATTTCTTTGATGAACATTTCACTTGGTCAGGAGGCATGGGACTTAGACGTTGCTGATGACTGATTAAATGTCAGCTCATCAAATCAACACACCAAAAACTGCTGCCCCTGGGAAAAACTACGATTGATCAACAAAGCACTACGAACGAATTACCGCATTCCTCAATATGGTCAGTCTTTCAATTACCTCCTCTAAGAGGCTGAATTCAAGATGAAAAAAATACTTTTTATTGATATGTGCACAGAACCCACCAAGAACTAGTCACTTTGTGGTGAGAGTTCCCTGAAATAGCTTTCTGCATATCCAACGCAAGTGCCATCTATTCTTACTAAGTATATCACCTCCACAATAAAAATCAAGAATTATTTAGGTTACTATTATAGAGTTATAACCATTATGAAAAGCATTAGTTTTATAACCTAAAATTAAACAATCTTAACCAAGAATACAGAGAGCCCCAAGATGCCCATGTGTGAGCTTCAGTGGCTCAACAAATCTCCTTATACAATATGTAAATTTATCTGCATATTTTTCTGGGCAAGAGTACCCAGTGTATTTATCAATATGCCAAAGTTTCCCTTAAACTAAACAAGAAGACAAAAACCATCAAAAAAAGAAAAGTATAATGACACAATATGGTGCAAGGAAAAAACTAGTATTTGAAGATAAGGAGCTAAGTTTGAATCCTAGTTCTACCCCTCATTAGCTGTGATACTTTGGCAAAACTTCTTCTCTTTAAACATCAATTTTCTAGTCTGTAAAAACAGAAAAATAATACCAACTATGAAGATTAAATATATGTAAAGTACTTAACATAGTACCCAGAAACTACTGCATTATCAACTGCTATTTGCTTTAAAAACACAAAAATGTATTAATTTGAATAAATGGACAGAGCACATTTCAAATCAACAGCTAGATTACAAAATTTAATTATTTTTCTTTTGAATGTAGTTTCATAGAAAATATGGGATACACCCTGTATTAGTTTCCTATTGCTGATGTAACAAATAACCACAAATTTAGTGGCTTAAAACAATGCAAATTTATTATCTTATAGTTCTGGACTTGGAAAGCCAAAATGGGACTAAAATCAAGGTGTTGGCAGGGCTGCATTCCTTGTGGAGGCTCTGGGGCAGGATCGGATCTTTGCCATTTCTGGAGACTCCTAGGCTCAC